TATATATATTGATGTAACATGTTTACATACTTCACCGTGATTCGTAGTATGACAATGAAAGAACCAGTAACCCGGATTTTCTGCCTTCATTCTCAAGATGGCGTATCCATTAGAAGGCACCATTACTGTATCTTTTAATGCAGCTTTTACAGGAGAATTTCTGAACAGACCACCTGCATTAAAATGTGTATTTAATATGATTAAAAAAATAACAGTATAAAAACATCGTTCAAACATCTAGAATATTTTACAGACACTCAGAATTTTAAATTAGTTAACAAAATATTTTGATTAAATTAAATTAATGGTGTTAACTACTAATTAATCTAATGATATAATTAGTAAAGCTAACCCCACTATATAATCATAAAATTTAAATTCATTTTATTTCTTAAATCACCTTGTTTGTCGAGTTGAATGACATCTTCGAGTGTCATCTTTTTAGTGTGAAATGAATTTAGTCCAATGAGTCGGAAGCTGCCACCATGCATATGCATTGGATGTTGTATAACATCTCCATCAGTATTAAGTAATATAATTTCTACCACCTGAAATGTAAAGTATGTCGATATATTTATTATTAATATATATTCCTGTTTTTGGCCAATTCTGTTATTACGTATGTCACACAACGAATAATAATAATAATAATAATAATAATAATAATAATAATAATAATAATAATAATAATAATAATAATAATAATAATATAGGCCTAAGTTTCTAAATTAAGTTTCATTATAAGGCTTAGGAAGTGGAATTGTTATTAGTCATGAGGAAAAAAAATTAAATACAGTGGTAGGAAATGAAAAAATCTGGGATGGAAAGTTATTAAACTCCACTCGTTAAACACATTTGCAAAATAGTAATAATACAAATTTAAACTCCTAATAATAATAATTATAGATTTCAAACAAAGAAGATCCAGAAAGTCATCCAAAATATCAGTAAGCACTGAGAGAGGGTACAGCTCAGGGGTTCAGTTAGCCCGGCTATCTTGCAGGTCTATAGTTTCATATTTACTTATAATAAAACATCGTTGACATACTCACATTTCCGAGTTTTATTTTTAAAATATGTGTACATATACATTGTTCAATGCCGCACGAATAGTACAATGTTTTGTTCCCAGCTGATTGACAAATATCCGAGTAATTTGGCGCATTCGTCACAAATGGTAATAATGGAGGATTATATATAACATTATCGACAGCAAGAGCGCCATTTCGATAGCCGGGGTCCGTAGGCGTTTTATATGTAGCGTACGACCTCAATGTAATGTAATGCCTTGAATCAACACGATAGAGTTCTTGATCACCAGGGTCTGTAAAAAACAGAAGTATACGTACATAGAGCCTTCAATTTATGTGGACATAATACCACACTGGTCTTCAAAAATTCTATGCAATTTTTAGATCATTGAATACAGCAAAGCCTAAAAACATTAAAATGCAATATTATTATTATTATTATTATTATTATTATTATTATTATTATTATTAATGAAAGTGAAGGGAAACAGCATAAAACAGAAGGACTGTTTTAAATACTTGGGAAGTTGGATTTCGTCTGATGGACGATCGAATAAGGATATCCAGTATAGGATTGGTGTAGCAAAGCAAACATTTAGGGATATGAAGAACCTTTTTTGTGCGGGGAGAATTGGAATGAAATTGAAGAAAAGATTACTGAAATGCTATATCTGGTCAGTGCTTACGTATGGATGTGAGTCCTGGACAATAAACAAGGCAATGGAAAAGAAATTAAAAGCTGTGGAAATGTGGTTCTACAGAAGAATGTTGAAGATTTCGTGGGAAAAGAAAATGACAAATGGAGAAGTGTTGCAAAAAGCGAAAACAGAAAGGCAGTTGATGAACACCATAAGAGAAAGACAATGGAGATTTGTTGGACATATTCAAAGAGAAGAAGGTGGAATTGAAAGACATATCATCGAGATGAAATTAAAGGGGAAAAGGGCGAGAGGAAGGCAAAGGATGAAGATGCTTGATTGGATGAAAGAAAAGCTGAATGTGAAGAATGATGTAGAGCTTGGGAATTTTGCGAGAGATAGAAAGAGATGGAAAAAGACAGGACAGACACTGACAGACAATCCATGAACGCCTACGGCATAATATGCTATGGTACATGAAGAAGAATATCATTCATGATGATGCCATAATTACATAATTAATTTCGAATGATTTCGATGGTGTATATTTTAAGTATCCATTCTATTTTCTTATGTGCAATGTTGCTGTGTTAAGTATGGTGTTGGTCTTTTCATAGTCATTTTAGTCACATTTAATATTTTGTTTTTCAAATTTAAGTATATTTTTTTCATGTTTGGGGAGACTTGGGCATTGTTAGGAGGAACAGCTTACCTGTACAAAACTTCCTGGTAATTTTATTTTTATTTTTATTTATAGTTTATTACTTCATATTAGGCCTATATATTAAAGTTGGATTTTACAAAATCTGAATAAATAAATAAATTATATAGGTTGTAAAGAAAAATACAATTCAGGAAATTATGAACTAAAATTTATATTATATTATATCATATTATATTATAATTTATCAAAATATTAAATTTCAACAGAGGTGCAGTGGTGGTTTAAACAGAAACGAGGAGTCCAGCATGTCCGACAGCGGGGTCCGAACCAGGAGCCTCGATCAGGGTCCAGGAATAAAAAAATGCTGTTATACTTCATGGGGACGAGTTTTATGGTTTGAATAGGCCCAAGTTGTGCTTTTAGAACACAATATTAGGGAATGGCATCAAAATAACATTTTTGGATAGGCAAATTAATATTTTTGGTCTGACGACCGTAGCTGCAGATGAAGGAGGGAGGGGGAAATTGTATAGACCTATCAGAGGCATGAAAAAGCTTTCCCAGCAACTGCCCCCGCCGGCACCACCACAACAGCAAAGGTGACCTATTTCAACCAAAATGTCAACAACATGTCAAGGTAAAACTACTTGATATTTAGAGAGAATTCAGATTCTTACCTGAAGAAACAACGTCTATTGCAGAGAACGTCCCTTTCGAAAGATTCCCCATATATTGCGGTGCAGGATCCAGAGCATATGATGCGCATGTTGGTTTATCCAAAGGACTAGATTTGTATTTCAGGATGAACGTTGCATTATCGTTAGTGCACGAGCTATTTCCGTAACCAAATGCATATATGCAATACGTTGATGGCGCGGCGTTGGCATGTAGCACGAAGTCGTACCTATGTAGTCAATTTCAATGTAGTATTGTTATAAAAACATTTTTTTTCGCCAAAGAGGTTATGTGTTCATTGTTATTTGTCTGTTTGCCTGTTTGTCTCGGATTATGCAAAACGAATTAAAATGAAT